AAAGCAGCAGGGGGAAGGAGGGAAGGAGCCCGGGCCCAAAATGGTGGGTGGGAAGGGAGGGAAACCGGATGCAGTCCTCTGTTCTGGCTCCCCCCCCCCATCATGCTTGACAGGAAATTTGCTAGTAGAAAAAATAAGAGCTGGCATATGCTGAAGGGGGTGTCTCAAGTCTAAAAAGGTTGAGAACTTCTACTGTACACTGATGGGAATACTTATTCTTTGAATAGCTGCATGGTTCCTGTAAAGAGATCTCTTCTTGAAAGATACCATTTTGAACTGGGTTGGGGTATATTTTTGCTAGTTTTATATAATTGGGTAACCCTGGGATCAGTACCTTTAGTAAGAATACAAGAGCAGTTGTATTGCGTTGCTGAATCAAAGTCCTTGTATATAAATTTCCATTTCTGAGAAGTTATGTTTAATATGTGGGACATTGATATTTCTACTCCTGTTCAGTTTGCTCACTTTCCTTTGTCTCGTATGTTGTTGAAGTATAGTTAATAGCCAGACCTGGACGTCCTGTTTTTCTTTAAATGTTTGAGCATCTAAAAATGTACATGGTAACTAGAATTGTGTAGGGTATATAGTTACATTAATTTCGTCCAGGTTAAATTTTAAAGAAAGATTTAGATTAATCCTAACTATAATCCCCCAAAAACCTAGGCTTTGTAATAGACATTGAATGGGGGGATGGCTTTCTATACATGCAATCCCACTGTTGTTATTTCTTCTTTAAGCTGGTTACATATCAATGTTTTAAGTGCTATAGGTAATATTCCAAATGCTGATAGTCTTGCACAGAGGGTCTTTGAGTACAGTTGCTGAAAAACGCTCCATCTTGCTTTCATTTCTTTAGGTTATTTCTCCAGCAAAAGTGTGTGGATTCACCAATGAATCTGAAACAGTTAAAAGGCTACGTTTGGCTGTCATAAATAAGGATTTTACTTTTAAAGCAGGACAGTGGTAAGCTCTTTTTCTGATTTTTGGGGAGGTGGAGAGGGAGAACAGATGACAAGAATGCTTAAACAAAGCCAGGATAGTTCTATGTTAAAAAGTTCCAGGAAAAAAATTGCCATTATATTTGCCTTATGTAATATACTATTAACAATTGCTGCATAGAACAGCAACCTTATAACATAAACTATGCTTCTATATTTTTACTGCAGATAGAATAATCACGGAAATTAATATTCTTCAGTATTCGTTTAGATTCATTTGGTGTTTCTCCTCTGGTTTATAGCCATTAAAGTGTTCCTACAGTAGAAATTTAAAGAACATTTTACTTGTGTACTTTTCTAGCTTACTGTATGGTAGAGCAGAGACTGAGTGCAAGTTCATTTTAATTTGATTTTAGAATTTTATAATTAAATCAAAATAGCATTTTTATTCTGGGTCTCCTTCCCCCCCCCCAAAAAAACCCAAACAAACGTTCCTCATATAAAATTAAATGTACATAATTAGATGAGAAATGCATATACACTTGAAAACAAATCCAGTTTTCTGGTTTGGCTACTCCATGGGTTACTTGTTATTTAAATAAAGCTTTAATTTGTGTTTTGTAGTATTGGTGGCTACTTACCACTTGTTCTCCCCCATTTAGAGAAACTTAATTGTTTTTAAAATCAATTAATTTTATGGGTAAATTAAAAATCTGGACCTGTCACTTTCACCAATGGCCTTTTAAATTTAACTTTCTATTGGCTTAGTCCAGCTGGTAAGTAGTTTTGCTGGAATCAAAGTTTAGCCATTAGGGTGTTAACAGCATGTGTTACCAACGTAGTGTTAATATGCAGGCTTTTAAATTTAGAACCAGAAAACAAGATGTTGATTGCAATAATTTGTGTTCCTGGAGCAATTTGCTGCAGTCTTTGCACATGTGCAGTGACTCATATTAAATTCTTGCTTGCCAGTACTTAGAAAAAACACATTTACCCTTCAAAAATGTTTTAGCAATTATCACACTGAAAACTGAAAGCTTTAATTATAATTACTCTTTTTCATTTTCTTCTTCCTTAAAACTATTCTAATGCTGTTGTTTGGCATAGCAATAGCAACTTCTCTCTGCTTACAGTTATGAACTGTGGTCATGTTTTCTGATGAGTTGTGCCAAAAATCAGGGTACAATTTCCTGAGCAGAAAAGGCTAACCTGTTGGAGTATTGCTCCAGTGAAATGCCAGAGCTAAAGCATGTCTTTGCAGCATAAACATGGAAAATCCAATAAACACAGAAGATTTAAAGTCTTAGCTTACATAAGCAAAAAAGTAGATGCGTTTTCTAAGGAACTCTTAGATTGTGTTCTGTATCTGACCACAAATAGTAATAGGGATTTTTTGCTCTAATAAATCTTTTGAATAGGCTAAAAAGCAGACAGAAGTTATGCATGCATAAGCCTGCTTCCAAATATCTTGAAGGCCTGAAGGACAAAGGGTAACAGGTTTATGTTCCTAATATTTGTAACCTCTTAAGCTGCTGGTGGATATTTCCCTTTCTTTGAATATCCAGCTTTAAACATCTTTTCAGTCAAAGAAAGAAGTGTGGCAGACACAGCTACAAGTTTACATATTTACTTTCCTCTTTTAAATATAGCATGTTCCTATTGTTTTCACCTCTCCTTTCCTTTGCTGCTTATATACATTTTTTCTTAGCATTATTTGTATTCCTTTCATGTCTCCCCAGAGACTACTAAAATAAGACAAATGGTCATTCCAAGATGTTATCCCACAGCATGTACAGCCTGCAGTCTGTTAGAGTATCAACAGGCTGAAGCAATATTCTAATTGAAAAAAATAAAGAGAAAATGCGCTTGTGCATGTCTATAGGAACATAAAATCCAAGTTCTTCAGTAGTGTTAGAAGGTGCTGTATGTTCTCTCACATTTTAAAGAAACTAACTATTTGCCACCTTGATGTGAATAGCACAGATATTTTGGTGTGGCTGTGGACCTTTATTTGTGGCATAAAAAGACCTTTTTGAGTTTTCATTCATTCTAGTCTGAGCACTAAGCTTTTTCTTTTCCAGCAGAGGGTGGTAAAGAGCTTTAATCTCTTTATTTGTGGTGTTTTTTGATATAGTGCATAGAACCGGGTCATCTTACTTGACTCACAAGTCTATTTCTTCGATCCTTATGCTGAACACCCATAATTCCATTCAAGCTTAGTGGGACCTGCAAATGCTGATGACCTCTATACAAAAAAGAGGAAATCTCTCTTCAGATTAGTTTGCCTCAGTTTGCCTATCCTCTTAAGCAGTATTTCTCAGCTTAAAAGGTTGACAACCTGTATATGTAATGTCAGCATTGTAATGTTACATTTCCTGTTTAGTTGTAGTAAAAAATAACTAACAACACTGTATCAATGACAGTAATATGTCTATTTAACTTGTATGCGTTTATTTTGAGAGGTTAGTGGAGCATACTTCAAGTCAAAGTTTAGGGTTTTGTGCAAACAAGGGAGAAAAAGAACTTTGGGGGGGGAAACAAGGGAGAAGACATCTTTTGTTTAGATCAGTAATTCTTAACTGGAGTGCCACAAGATCTTTTTAAGGTTGTCATTTAGTATTAGCACTGTTAAGTGTGCAAATGCCTTCACATAATTCACAAGATAAACCCAGATTTTTCATGTAAGAATCCATGATGTCAAGAACATTCTGACCTGTTGTGGTCTTTCTTTGCAACAGAGAAATCTATTATTTCTGTCATCAAAAAAAGTGAAGTTTCTGTATTTTCTCATGTGTATCGTATACTTGTTTCCCAAAACCCAGCTAGAAATTACAGTGTATATTTAAATGCAAGAAATATGGTAAGAATAGTTTCTGATGGTTATGAATGTGACTTACAGGGAGCAGACCAATGAGCAGGGTTGGCTCCCTAGCAGCTGCTACTTAGTTACTAGTGTAGAAGGAAAGAGTATTTCCTTCTTCATTCTTCAAAAAACAAGTTGAGTTTTGTATTCTAGGGTGTGTAGTAAGTGAGAAAATGTGGTAGTTTTGGAGGTTTTTTTGTTTTGTTTTGTTTTGTTTTTTTAAGTAGGATGCTGCTAAATTCAGAAAATTATGGAGGGTATCTTGAGTCTAAAAAAGGTTGCGAACCACTGGTTTTAAGTTGCAGTAAAACTTTAGTGTATATAACCAGATGCCCTGACACCTCCTTGAATGCCTTTTATGTTCTCCCTAAAGATTGAAACCTACCACTTGAGATGTATTATATATATCTATGCAATGGAAGCCAGATGATGCACCTCCTTCCATCCTTATTTAAACAAGCACTGAAGCCAAGTTATTTGTTTTGTTCTGGGGCTATTAAAATAGCTTGGCAAACATTATTTAGTTAGAACTGAATATTTACTTCACAATACACTGTGCGAGAGGTCATCTCTGGCTATCAACTGAATAATAGTTAAATCAACTCTACTTGGCACTCTTCGGTGTCCATAGTTCAACAGGGGAGCACCCCAACTGACTTGAGGTAAAAGAAAAAGTCCTGGTTTTATAATTTCCTGCAAAGTGGGATTATGCAAGATTTTTAACAGGATGGCATAAATTAGAGGCCAGAATATGAACCAGTTTCCAGTACAGTTTGGAAAAATAAGAACTTGACTTTTAAATATTAAGGCCACTCTCTTAACCAGAGATGCTGAGCTAAGGACTAATGTTTAGGGACTGAACACCAGCCACTCCGATGGCCCTCTGGTCAGGGTGGTGCTCAGTACTTTTGAAGCTCCTGGCTCATAATTCAACCCAAATCATTTTGAAAAGTATGTCATGTATGGACCTTCCTTTAATAGCTCTTCTTTTGTGAAGACTAAATTTGCTAAAAATGGAAGACAAATTTAAACGTCCTTGAACATTGATCTGGCTTTTAGATATTTTGAAGAAAAAAGAAAAACCATATTGCACGCTATTATCTGAAGGATTTTTACTGCGACTTAGTTTTTCTATTAGTCTTCTGACTTTGGATGCATTATTCCTCTAGATCTAGTACGTGATTTTACTATTGTCTTTTGCAGCAGCATGCCAGTTATGCCCAGGTACACAATAATGCAGAAAGCAGGGGCTCTTTCTTTGTTCCTTGTCAATTTCTGCTTTATGCACTGAAAGCTTTTTTGGGTCAATACCGATGGTCAACCAGCCATATCAGCCGGCACCAATCTGATTGCAAATACGCAGCCCAGCAGCTTGGAAAGCAATGTCTGGCTGGTTTGTTGTGCAAGTCTGTTGTGGGGGGTGGGGAGCAGATCGAGGACCCACATGGTGAGGGAGGGAGTGGAGCTGGGTCAAGGGCTGGCGCTGCCCAGCTGAGGTGGGGCAGAGTGCAGGACAGAGCCATGGCTTGTTTGCAGGGGGCAGGGTGGCTCCCGCCACTGTGTGCACCCCTGAGGGAGGCATGGAGGGCACATGCCCCCCAGATCTGTGTGCGGGGCAAAGGGTGGATTGTCCACTGCGGACTGGAGGCTGTGCTGGGCTCTTCCTGGCAGCGGCTGGGCTGGGGCTGTGCTCAGGCTGGGCAGGGCAGGGGCAGTGGCACAGGGAGTGGGGCTATGGGAAATTTTGGGGTGGCTGTAATCCCCTTCCCCCCAGCTCTCCCTCCACATGCCACCTCCTGCCCCACCTGAGCACAGCCCTAGACCAACTCCTCCCTCCCCTGGGAAGAGCCCAGTGCAGCCCCAGCCTGCCCTCAACCCACACACAGATCCAGGGGGCACATATTCCCCATGCTTCCCCCAGGGGTGCACACAGTGGCAGGAGCCACCCCCATGCACCTCTCAGCCAAGCTGCGGCTCCATTTTGCCCCGGCTGGGCAGCATCTGTCCCTGCACCAGCCCCACTCCCTCCCTCACCATGGAGGCCTCAATCTGCCCCAGCCCACCTCTTCCGCTCCAGACTTACCAACTGCTCTCCAAGCTGCTGGCCTGCACTGCTGGCCATGTGCATGCTGTGGCTGCGCACATGCATGTAGCATTTAGATGACATTATTGGCTACATCAGCCAAAAAAAGCCAATTGCCAATAATGTCAATTTTCCTTTTATTGGTGCTGATACAATATGGACTGATGTATTTGTGCACTTCTACTTTTTACCAGTGTTTATTTCTCAGCTTCAGTATCTTGAGCATGTTCTAACTTTATCATAGAATAATGTACACCATAAAAATGTTGCTTCTACTTTAGCAGAAACTTATGTCACCAGGGGGTGCTGCAGTTTAGTTTGTTAATCAATCTCACAATGGCTTTTTTTTTCTTCCATAAAAAACACAGTGTATAGAGAATTTTCTTTACCTTTGATAGCTTTTGTTCCCTAACGTCTGTGTTTAAAAGCTGTTTCCCTAAACTTAAATTTTCCAAGCCCTTTCATTGCAAAGTATGGAGTTTGAAAACTGAAGGGAATACCTAAATGTGTTTAGAATAGAATGGGACTTCAGTCCTCTAACTGACCACATAGAATCCTATGCTACTCATTTTTGTAGTTTTTTATTTAAAAATTCTAGTATTCCTTAATGCACTGCACTTTGTTCTGCTGTGAGAAGTATCTAGAAATAGTCTGGTCTAATATTGATACTTTTTAGCTCCTGGAGATCTGGAAATAATTTTGTCACCAAGTTAGCCACAAAGAATTCTGATATGATGCTATCCCTCAAATTGCATTTAACCTCCAAACACATTTCATTAATGTAGCAAAGTCATTCAGTTTTGAGAGAATTTTATCACGGTGTTGTTTGCAACCAAAATGTTCAAGTAAAGAACATGTACTGCACCTTATCTGTTGGACTGTATGGGAATCAAAATAGTCTCGTTGATAAACATATGGTAGTTGAGATCCACTTGGTCCTGGAACAAAGAACTAATATTATTTCCCCACCCCACTTGTTTTTTTTAGGGTAGACTTCTTTATTCCTGGACTTGATGTAGTTGGTGGATTCTCCATATGTTCAAGCCCTGGTCTGTTGGAACAAGAGGGAGTATTGGAACTGGCAGTAAAACATACAGTACATCCTCCTGCTCACTGGATTCACACACAGGTAAATAGTGTAGCAACTGTTTACACAGTTGATTGTGACTTTTTAAAATAGCTTAGAACCTGAAGACAGTGGTAGGACTTTAACTGACTTCTGGGAGGAGGACCAGTCTCCCGGTGTGCAGGACTTGTAAACGTCATTTAAATTGCTCATTTAACACAAGAGAGAGGTTAACCTATTTATTTTGCAAGAGGCAGTAAAGCTGAATATGGATAACATGGTTGTTGTGAGCTTCTAATGTAGTTTTAATCTTGCTTTTTGATGTCTGACACAACTAAGTAATATACCAGGGACACATCTTACATTTGTGGATTTGCCAGAAATCATGACAAACCGTGAAGGGTCTTGCTTAGCAAGGTGATGTCATACAAGTGTGAATTTGTCCAACAACCATTCACAAGTTATAGAAAGCAAAGCTTTAGCAGTGGTGTGTGGTTTTCTTAAAATCCCAGTATTCTAGATAACTTTAAATATCACAAGGCCTCTTTTGCCATGCAGAACTTAGTCCAATTCTTCTGCATCTGGCCATTTTATGCTAGTTACTTTTTTAAGGCCTTGGACTACATCTATACTCCTTACTATTTACAGCAATTTAAAACTTGTTTCCTTCTACCCTGTTACTCTCTTCATATCTAATTTACAGCCCTTATGTTTCTGCTTCTATTGAATAGGCTGTAAGGTTCAGGATAACTTTCTTCCAAGACTACAACCATAGCTTCTGTTTAGTGACCAGTAGAGTTACCGCACAAAAAAAAGAGAAAGAGACGCATACCAAACAGTGGAACATTTACTAGGCAGTGAAGTCCCCAAATTGATCCTAATCCAGGATTTTTCTACCTAGGATAACCTTATGTAGTTTTAGAGTTGTTCTTAAATCAGGCAAGTATCATGCCTCACTGAAATTCAAATGAATGTTTTGATGGGTTTTATAGAAGTTATAGTACAAGTGTCCCCATGAATACATGGGGAAATTACCTGCATCTTTGATGTTGCTCTTTAGAGATCATTAAGAGCCTGATTTCATAGTTTTCCATCTCCAAGAGATCTTTTAGGATTTCTAATTGTGGTCCTTCTCCACTTAACCCATTTTACTGTTATTAAAATGTCTAGTTGAGTTCACAGATCAAGCTAGTTCAAATCTGATGTTGCAGAAAAAAAAAAAAATAGAATACGAGCCGAGTTCTCTGTTAAATAAAGGCATTGGTTTTAGTTCTTCTAATAGAAAGGAAAGGGGAAGCAAAACAGGATAGCATCATAGAATTTGAAGAGGCCCTCGATAGGATGCTGGGAGACTTATTTAATACTGATATAATATCTTTATAAATAACCTTTTAACATTACTGATCTTATTTACTCAAGAGCATAAGAACATAAGGCTGCACCCCTACCTAGTATTTTCAATAACTACTGATGCATCTTTTCTTCAAGAATTGGTCCAAACCGCTTTTTAAATTACCCGTCTACATAACATCTTTTGGCAATGAGTTCCACAGGTTAATTATGGGGGGGGGTCTTTTGTTTACCACCATATAACTTATTCTTTGTTACTTTTAATCCTACTACTTGATAATTTCAGTTTGCCCACTAGTTCTAGTATTGTAAGAGATTTTAAAACAATAAATCCCTATGTACTTTCTCTGGATCCTTTAATATTTTATAAACCTCTGTTATGCCCCCCCCCCAGCATCTCTTTTTTTAGGCTAGGACTCGTCAGCTTATTTCATCTCTCTTCATATGCAGGCCCCTCCATTTCCTTGATAATCCTTGTAGCCTTCTTTGTGCCTATTCTTGAATAGAAAACTAGTTCTTCCTCTTTGAGATGTGGGAAGCAAAACTACACAGTATTCAAGGTGTGGATGCACCATAGATTTATAAAGGGACATAATGATACTTTTGTTTTGATTATAGTTCCCTTATTACTTCCTGGCATTTATTTGCCTTTTCGGCTGCTGCTGAACACCAAGCTGATGTTTTTAGTAAACTGTTTCACAAGGACTCCAAGATCTCTTTCCTGTGTATTAACAGGTGATGTAGAGCCCATCATTATGTATGTATATACGGGTTATTTTTCCCCTTCCGTGTGCATCACTTTGCACTTATTTGCAATATTGAATTTAATTTGCCATTCTGTTGCCCATTCACTCAGTTTTGAGAGATCCTTCTGTAATTCTTTGCAGTCCACCTTGATCTTTACCACTCTCAATAATTTTGTCACCTGCAAACTTGGCCACCTCACTGACTCACTATTCAGTCCCCTTTCTAGATAATTTATAAGTGTATTAAATAGCATTGATCCCAACACAGATCTTTTGGGGACTTCTTTCCATTCTGAAAACTGAATATTAGAGGTGCACCGACGCATCGGTCCGATATCAGATCAGTACCGATATAAAAGAAAATTGCCTATAGTGTGTATTGGCCCTACGGGGCCAATAAATGCCTATGCCCTGTGCAGCTGCAGCACAGTATGGAGCAGAGCTGGCAGTGTGGAGAGGGGAGGGGCTGCCTCCAGCTGGTAAGTCAAAAGAGGAGGCGGGGGGAGGGAGGCTGCAGGGGCAGGCACTGCACATGAGACAGGCGCAGCTTGTGGGCTGGGGCAGCTCCCTCCGCTGCTTGCACCCCAGGAGGGCGAGGGGTTGTATGCCCCCAGATCTGCGTGGGGTGCACGGGCAGACTGCAGTTGCAGGACGGAGCCGGTGTGGGCTCCAGCAGCACTGGGAGGAGGCTGCAGCTACCCCAGATTTTGCCACAGCTCTGCTCCCAGCCCCGCGCTGGCACCTGCTGCAGCCATGGCTTTTCCCGGTGCTTGGGCGGAGGTGGGGTGTTCAGCTGGGGCTGGGCTGGGTGGCAGTGCAGGGCTGGGAGCAGAGCTGCAGTGAGATTTGGGGTGGCTGCAGCCTCATCCCAGCGCCACCGGAACCCACTCAGAGCCCAGCCCCCAATGAGAATAGCCCCATGCAGCGCTGGCTTCGGCTCCACCTCCATCCCACAGCTGCAGCCTTCCCTGTGCTGTGCAGGTCCAGGGGCATGTGCCCCCTCACCCCCCCCAAGGTGCAAACAGTGGTGGGAGCTGCCCCCACCCCAAGAGCTGTGGCTATCGCGTTTCCCCCCAAACCAGCCTAGGCAGCACCTGCCCCTTCCCTCACTGTGATCTGCCCCTCCCACACCCTTTCCCTCCCTACTCCCCTTCTACCACACACTTACCAATCCAATACAGCTGCCATCAGCTGGTATCAGCTGATATGCCTCCTTAAATATCAGCCGATATGCCTCCTTAAATATCAGCCATCTCTATTGGCCCCCAAAAGCTCTATTGGTGTACCCCTACTGAATAATTAATACCACTCTTAGTTTCTATCCTTCAGTCAATTTCTGATCTACAAGTGACCTTCCCTCTATTCTAGAGGAGGAAACTCCAGTGTTGAGGGGAGCGGAGTTCTGCCTGCAGCTCACTCTGGTCCTGTTTGTTCATGGCTTGGCAGGGGAACATGCTGAGGAAGGAGAGGAGGGGAAAGGAGCTGGGGCTCTGTGAGCAGCCAATCGGGCAGGCATGGGACAGGTAGATGGTGGGAGCAGCAGGAGCCAGCATGAGCTTGGTGCAGCCCCAGCAGGCAAGAGTGGGACACAGACCAGGGGAGCCAGACTTGGCTCCCTGTCTCCCCTCCCCTCTCCTAGGGGCCTCTTGCAGCTTTCCCTGGCAAAAAGCTCTTTAGAAAAGCCATACTGATTTTTCCCCAGCAAATCCTGTCCAGTCATGTGCTGAACAAGCTTTACAAATTATTGCTTTTACCATTTTGCTAGGGACAGAAATTAGACTCACTGGCCTGTAATTACTTGGGTTCCCTTTAGAGCCCTTTTTGAAGATTGGAGTTGTGCTGGCAACCCTCCAGTCCTCTGGTCCCAAAGCTGTTCTTAGTGATACTTCAGAGCAGTTCTGCAGTTTCAGATTTGAACTCCTTCAGGACTGTACAGTGAAAGCCATCAGGTCCTGGTAATTTGGTACTATTTTGTTTTATTAATTTGCTCTAAAACCTCATCTAGTGATACCTCAATTTGGTCAGTTCTGGGAGGAATGGTTCTGGTGAGAAATCTCCCATAATAAAGACTGATGCAAAGGACTCATTTAGTTTGTTGGCAAGGGTTCCTAGATCTTTTACACCTGGATCCTCCTGCTCTACTTAGTTGCTGGGAGGCTTTCTGCTTCTAATATCCTTAAGTTTTTATTTTTAAGTTTGTAGAATTCTAGCAAGTGTTTTTATCAAAGTCTTTTTAACTTGTACTGCATTTATACATTTGACTTGCCAAACGTTTGTACTCTTCATATTCTCCTCATTTGACTTCTACCTTTTTCCTTTTCATAGCCTCCTTTACTCTGCCATTTAGCCATTCTGGCTTCTTTTTTTGCTGTACTTTCCAGATTATTTGATTATCCATCTGCATTTACTGGTGTTTTTCCAATATGGTGTTCTTAAGCAGTTTCTGTGCTGCTTGCAAGGTTTTAACCCTCTAAACCCCTTTCTAACTAGCTTCCTGACTTTTGTATAGTTCTCTCTCAAGGTTAAAAGCTACTCTGCTTTAAGTATATCAAAGACAGTTACATTGTGGTCACTATTACAGTGTTTCACTGGTAGTTATTAAACCCGGTGCAGTGCTTAGGAGTAAGTCCAGAACGGCCTTTTCTTGAAATTCCAGAACCAATTATTCCAGAAAGCAGTCATTTATGATGCCTAGAAATTTAGTCTCTGCATCCCTCCTTGGGGTGAGATTTATCCAAACTATATATGGATAATTGAAGCCTATTATTGTGTTCTCTGCTTTTGCAGTCTTTCCTCCTTAGCATCCTCCCTTAGCATTTCTAGCCCACTTCTGCCATTAAGATCGGATAATTGATAGGAACAATATACTTCTGTAGCTATGCTACATAGACGTGGAATTTTTACCCGTAGATAAACTGTTATTTTCATATCAGTCAAGGCATCTACTCTAGTTGACTCGATGCAGTT